AAGTTTAAAGTTATTTAAAATAACTTAAACTCTAATATTAATTTTCGGATCATTAAAGATTCTCTAAACTCAGAGTGGCTTGTATATTACGTCACTGCCGATTTTTTGTGACATGACTTATCTACCTATCAAACCTCATAGGCAGAGGTTTGTCTGATTGGCTAATAAATTCAATTTAATTTTACATTATTTATACAGTTTAGAGTACTTTTTTAAAAAACAAAACTAATCATAATGAAATAAAAAATTCCGTATATAAGGTTTCATTAGAGCTGTAGGACTCCATAGCCAAAAATAAGATCTAATTCTCGTCCGTTTAAAAAAGTTAATATAGTAGTAACTTCTCAAAACACTTATTTCTAAGCTAATTTTTTTAAACGGACGAAAATTAGATCTTATTTTTGACTATGGAGTCCTACAGCTCTAATGAAACATTTTATATAGTTTTTTTTACTTTATTATGGTTGGTTTTCGTTTTTTTAAAAAAGTACTCTAAATTGCATAAATAATGTAAAATTAAATTGAATTTATTAGCAAATCAGACGAACTTCTGTCTATGAGATCAAACCATTAACTACAGCCTGCCCTCGTTTATAACGTAGTGATCGGGCTGGAAAGTCTTATATATAAATCCGTTATAATTAAATATCCACTATATCGTTATATAGTATAATCATAAAAATTTTAAAAAATTTTAGAAGATTTCTCCGCTATAGTGAGGGATCCGCTATAAAAAATTCGTTATAACGAGAGTAGACTATAAAACAATTGTGCTTATATAGAGTACAAAATTGTAAAAAATATTTGACTATAGGAAATGATGAGTTAAATTAGAATATAACTATTTCTGAGACTAAATTTTTTTGCATTCTACCGAATTGACAAGATTAGCCCACATAAATTTAATATCTTGGTTTTCATAACATGAAACTTTTAAACAGACCCGGCCGGCCGGCTTTTTTTTTTAAATTTCATATATATAAATTTTATAAAACTTATATTTCCTTAAAAACACACCCGATTATTAAAACATAAAAAATTTTTGTTACAAGGTTCCAAATTTTGACCCGGCCGGGTTATGAAAACCAATTAATTAATTTTGCATGGCCTTATAATGAAATTTATTTATAATGAACACCAAAGTTAACAAGCTTGTCCAACACCTCTCTTAAAAGCTTTTTACGATTTAACAATCCCTCTCTTTGATACTTTATACCATCATCTTCCCTAATTAAATCATCGATTGATCTATCTTTATCATGAATAAAAATTTCCATTAGTTTTTCTTCAATGCGATTACTAAATTCATCAATAAAAGTATGAATTATCGTCATAGAGACAACGTCAACATAACGCTTGATCGCAATTTTTAAGTATGCTAAAACTATTGCCACTACTTCTAAAGCTTCAGTAGGTTTACCATGCTTCACTATTTCATGAAGATACTTCTCTTTTAAGTCTATTACCATTTGCTTATCGAGTGTAAATGGATAAATGGTTCGTTCCACCTGGTACATGAAGATAATATGATCTGTTGTTTGTTTTTTACATTCTTCTAGCCAGGTTTGCGTCTTATATCTTAAATTAGGTTTTAGAAATGTTAGCTCTAAAATAATTATGATTTCTTGAAATTAAATAATCATTCTTACACCATGCGTTCAACTAGACCAGGAAATCTTGAAAAGGTGTTTTCTATAGTCTCATTTACTTCTTTTATCATAATCTCATAAACAGCATTTAAACAGTTTATGGCAGGTTTTTTCCATTTTACCTGATTTTCTTGGATAATAGATTGTGCGGCCGAATAAGGAATGAAACCGGGGAGTAGTCTTCCACGAGCATTTTTAATTATTTCAGTGACTTGGGCTTCTGTTAGCTGTTGTAATTGATCTGTACTTGTATTACTTTTGGCCGTAGGACAATCTTTGATAAAGTCTTCAAGTATATCAATCATAGCACCTGAAGGAATTGTCCCGGGATTACTATTACTATGACTAATTGAGAAAATTGGACGTAAGGCATAAAATTCTTCTTTGAATTGTACAAATTGATTATTGAGTGATTTCCATAATTCAATTTGATTATTTGAGCAAGTAGTTTTTTCTTTGATAATCGTGGAGCAATTTTTTATCAAACGAAATATGTCAATTTCTGGATTATTAGAGAGTTGCTTTGGGAGTTTTTCTAAACCATTGCATGCCTAAGAAATAAAATATAAAATAAGATAATCAATTTATAAATAGGCTTAAGATAATGATAAAAATACCTCATCGAACTTTTCTTCGACGTCTTTTCGGATACCAGGAAGACCTCTTTTAATAGCTTTAATTAATAATTCAGATAATTTATTTTGCAAATTCTTAACTCCGACCCTTTCTCGTAAATGAAAATTATTCCACGGTTCTTCTTGTTCAAAAAACTATCATAAACAAAATATTAGCTATTGTATTATGATTAAATTCTGTAATTTATTTATTATATAGTAATAATGTTTATTTAAATATAAATTAAAGGCGAACCTCGCTTTCAGCTAATCTAGCTTCTTCGAATCCAATATTGCTCATACGCTGCAATTTAGTTGGATTCTTTACGACATAATATCCAAGTTCGAGTGGATTGGCTTCACCTTTCATAATATTTAACCAGGTATTATGTGTTCCCTCTTCAATCATATCAGGTTTTGTAAGAACGCCTAGAGTTCGAATTCCTAAAGGATCTGCTTCTTTTGCGAGAGTAACTATTGCTTGGTTATCTATTTCGTCCTTACATGAAATCGTCGCTATTATAATGGATTTTTCATTTTTAATATATTCTTTTACAAGTTCTTCAGTCAATGGGATAAATCTCCTATCTTCGGCTTTTTCAGT